ATAAATGTACAAGTACTTTATAAGGAAGCATAGTTGCATAGATGATTAGCTGCTGATAAACGGATGTGAATAAAACTGATATTAATTAAGAAACAGGCAAACAATAGAATTTGTTTAGTTCAAATGTTGGAAGGAACTGATCCTTCATTTCACTTACAATACGCAAAATTGCAAGAAAACTCTCATAAAAAATTCAACAATAAAGTATTTAGTGATTTACTTAATGATTAAGCGTAATTGACGAGGAAAGGCATAATTTGATCATCAGAAAAGTAATTGCAGTGATAAATTAAACAGTTCCATTTGCGCTCACTAACATTGTAATCAATGTAAGTCGTAATTTCAAATTTTTGTTGCTGTTTTTCAAATTCAGTGAGACAGTATTGTTTATAATTATTTGATAGACTTATTCAATATTTCAAGTTCAGATGTACCGAAAATTTTTATATTCTTATTTACTAATAGAAAGCAAAAGATCTTGAAGAGTTTATCAAACTTAAATTTTTTCCAGTTTTTTTTCCATTTCTAGCGGAATAATTTTTTAAATATTAACTTTACATAAATTATTATAGTTGCTGCAATATTACGATGTAAATGAACCATTATCAAAATTCTGTTAAAAAATATTAAAATTCTAAATAAAATGACACTTACAAAAATATACAAACCTAGGTGAAGTAAATATGGCTATTTTGGTAGAGTTTGAATGAATTGAAGGATTTTACTGAAGTAAAATTTTTCTACAAACGAGAAATTCAGCAATTCATCATCACAAGGAAAGCATTGTACATATTAGAAAGAACTACAACTCTTACCTTATTTATGGGGTAGATTGTCTCAAAAGTTGGCAAAAAGGAAGAACATTTCAGAAAAATCTTATTTCATTTCAGTAAAACTTTTATTGATACTAGAAAATATAACTGAGCGATCATTCCAAAAACAATAATTACTTCAATGAATAATAAACGATAAAGTTTATGAAGACCTTAAATATACAAAAAACAATGTTTGAAAGATAACAATGAATGATGAAGTGATTTTTGCCAATTTCATTAGTACACGAAATTCACCAACCCAAATGTTAAACGAATTTTGATTTTTAAGTGGAATACATTCGATGTAAAAAATAAACGGAAAAGATAACTGACCTCATTTCCAATCGTTTTTATTGCTGTGTTCTTTCTTCCAAAAAAATTCAGTTTCATTTTATTTTTACCTTCAAATTTTTTCTGAATATAAATTCTTATATAAAGATATCATTTTTATAAGAATCTCAACCCAAACAAGTAAGAAAAAAAACTGGCACATCACATCACAAATGCATCTTGTCCCTGGTGATCCAGCCCCTATTTATTCCTGACCAAATCACTTAAGATTATTCTTGGGTGGTAATAAAAAAGAAAAACAAAATATCTATGTAAATATTAAGGAAAACAAGCTCCTTTCTTCACTTTTTTTTTATATTAATTATAATGAATAGACATATAATGGTTAAGAGTAAAATATGATATAATTTAAGATGCAAGTGAAATGTTTAGTTTTGTTCTAGAATCGTAAGCAATTATTAAAATTAATATTATCTAAGAGATTCTTTCATAAAAAAAAGATTGATTGCATTCAGATTTCCTAAACGAAAACAAAAAGCTAGTTTCAATAACTACTTCAATCACAATTTATGACTTTACCATTTAAAATTTTGTCAAAATCCATTCAAAAAATGCAAATGTGAAAGAAATTTATTGCTTCTACCAAAGAAATTTTGTAATCAATGGTTCTTGCGAATTCAGCAAAATAAAAAGCAACTTTTGAAAGCTGAAATGATCACTTTAGCAAAATTTGATTGAAAAAAAAAATTAAGTGATAGTTATTTGAGCAAAAGACAGCGAATAATAATAAAAGACAAATTTTTGTCTCAGCAAATTCAAAGCAGTAAATTTACTGAATTACTGGGATTGATATAAAAGAGGAAAATACTAAATCGATCATTTCGCAAATATTTGAGGATTAAATGTCAAAATTCATTTAAATTTTAAAGTTCAATCACTTCTTTAAACATTTGATTGTGAAATGTTTGTCCATTGTTTCGAATAGAAACTGGAAAATACGTCAAATTGTAGGAGGTATCTAATGACATGTTGTTATTGTTAACTCCATTATGTGTTTTCTTGTTTACGTATTTTCTCTTTTTTTACGTATTTACGTGTTTTCTTGTTTTTTTTATTGTTTGTTTATTTGTTCATTTCATTGTCTGCAATGCAATGCAAATTGAAGGCATACTGATTGTTAAGAAGAATAGAATGAAAACATTTTTGAAATTCGTAAGCACATGTTTAGGTCAATAGGTCACAAAAAAGTTCCTTGCTTATAAGAAAGTATGGGAGTAGTTTTGCAATGAGAATAAAATTCAAGTTATCTTGCAAGAATTCATTTTTTGACCATTACTTGGCCATTACTTGAAGTCGTCTGCTTTTACTGGAAGTGTACTTTCGTCCTTTTTTTTTGTTAAGAGGAATAAAATGAACGCATTTTGAACGCGTTCCTAGCTACAAATATATAATACATTATGGAAATAAAATTGAATAGCTATAAACTTAATGATAGATTAGAGCAAGTAATATTGCTCCAATTTCCTTAATCATTTTGTCGAATTCAGTAAAAGGAATACTGTGCCAAATGAACGCAAATGCCGTCTAGTAGCAAGTATTACAAAACTTCCAACTTCCAATTTTTAAATCTTACTTAATTTAATTCAAATAGGGAAATCGATACCAGTGAGATCAGTACAGTGAACTGAAATATCTGATTTATTCATAATGACCGATGAAAATAATCATTTATTTCAAGAGCCTTGCTTGAAATAAATTTAGCCAACAAAAATTTGAATTTGTTCCCAGCTACAAATACATAATACATACTAGTTTTAGTGTATTTCTCTGTACTTAATTAACGTCAATAGCAAATCCAACATAACCTTTTAACCTAACATAACCTGCATAAATCACTGTTCTCTTATATCCACCATGTGACTTATTGACTTCATAACTTATCCGTTCCTAAAACAACAATTTTGTAACAAATGCTCATTCCTTTACACTCGTTTACGCTCATTTTAGATGGTGATGATGCATAATGGAGCAAATAGGAATGATTAGTAATAGTTTCAAGAAAACACTACGACGTACGCTTCTGCGACCTTAAAGAGAGGTGAAGACACTCTTCATTCGACCAAATTCATAAAAGCAATCGATTATCAAGGTATAAGCATGAAATGAAGCCGGTACAAAGCAAGGTATCATTGTTGAGCTACATTTATATGCCAACAAGATGTTATTACCCTGATTTTGATGATATTAATAAATATTTTGAAGTTTTAGTGGTCTAAAAAAATAAAGAATGTGGATGAATCGTTTTGTAAAATGGTGGTTTAAATTAACCCAAAAAAGTAATAGAAAGTCACAAACTACACAAAACATAACTGATTGTTTGTTTAGATTGGTCAGTATTTAACAATAAGCATAGGATGGCATCTCGGTAGGGGGGATGTGAACGGCTTGTTTCGTCAAAATCTGGTTTTTTCTCTGAAGAAATATTGCTTTGGGCGTAGGGATCGTAGGATCAAGCGGATTGACCGACTGATCGAAAGGCAAGATTGGATATTTTTGCTAAATTTATTTGCTTTAAACAAACGGATTTTCTAAACTGGTCAGTTTTTTCTTGGAATTAATTTAATGCAAAAATGAAATGAATCAAGAAAGACACAGTAACAAAAGTTTCATTCCGTCATTCAGACAATTTCCTGTTTATTTTCAGAATTTATGCGCCAGAAATGCACGTAAATTTGTCTAAAATCAGAATAATGAATGACAGTTTGCTGCAGTGATTCACCTTATTTGACGGATTTGAAATTGCTACCACTCCTCCTGCTAGTTGAAACCAGTTGCAACATTTTGATTACCATTGTTATTGTTACATTCTTTCTCCTATTACTATCATTCTACTACTACCCTAATAGCAGCTCCGAATCGAAGCTACATTTCCAGCGTTTAGTATCGCCAAGTATACTCGCTTTGAGCGCAGCTGGTTTTAAGCTAAAGAATTCAATTACACGCGCAACGGTCATCTGCAATTTCAATGCCATCCAATTTACTTCATCATTTTGGTCTTAATTCAAACATAAATTCCAACTTTATTCCAATTGAAATTGCTCATTTTTTAGATGCTTCATACTTTCAACACATTACGGATGCTAACCAAATTTACACAACTATTTCTACTCCTATGCTAAGGTAATCCAAAGTTCTATTAAATTTTTTTATGATGTTTGAAAAGTTGTGACTTCTAAACTTTACAGCTCCTGATATGCAATCTGATAAACCTTTTAAGAAACTATTTATAAGATGCCGCATGTTTTATGCAAACACGAAATTATAATCCAACTTGTAAAGAGATTAATATAAAATATCCTAATTAGTTTATCATTCAGTAATGATTGAGACCCAAAATTAAACCAAAGCATGAAATTAGTTGGTAAGAAAGATAAGCAAGACTCTGATCTCAATGGAACAGCAGAACATTGCAGTCATATGTCGTATCATGTATTAATATATTTAATAAAGTTAGATAAAATAAACCATTATCCTTATCAGAGCGCTCGGATTATAAGGTACGAATGTACTGCTGGTTGGAATGGACAAATTAATTTTCTTAAAATCATTTCACTAAGTCTTAATTGAAGAAAAAGGAGGAGGGGAGGAGGGAGTTAATAAAAACAACTCTCCGAAACATGATTTTAGAAAAATATGGCTACAGTTTCGTGGTCAGAGCAATAAAAAGCAGTAGAATGAACGACATTACTTCACTGTTTCATATGACAAAATAACACGCTCTAAATGTCAATAATTAATTTATACCAAAATTGTAATGAAAAGTGGAGGCAACAAAACAATATGCAACGTTGATGTCATATCTATTTCTTCTATCATGATTTTTATTAGAACATTTCAAATTATAATTTCGTGCCGAAACAGTCGATACTTTGGCCTTATTTCGGAAATTTCCGGCAGTGGAGCATTCTGTGACAGAAAATGTAAAGCTGTGTCGTTGAAAACAGCAAAATTTGGTTTAAAAGTAGGAAATTTTAATAATGAACACACTTCACTATAAAGTGAGAGAGCTTGAAGTTCATTGCAATCAGAAATTTCCATTACATTGTATTCTTCCGGATTTTGTATAGATTTCTCATATTTTGACAAATGCTTCGTCATAAGATTCACCGAATGAAAATTGTTACCTGGAAACTCATTTAATTATCAATCGTTTTAAATGCAATAAATCATTGGTGGATAAATTAAAAAAGAAGATTTTACATTTGCAAAAAACGTTGTACGTTTCAAACGCTACTTCAACTGGAAGATAAGGAACTTCATTTTAAGGATAAAGAATTTCATTGAACACAAGACAACCAAATAAAACCAAATGCTTACCTGCAATAATAATCCTTTTTAATTTCTTCCTATGCGCATAAATTACACTGTTATATATAGCATGACCACAGTGTGGTGCGTAGAATAACACGACATTTTCGTTGTTGTCGTCATCATCAGATATCCGACATTTTAATAAATCTTTGGTTTCGGATACGTAAATGTCATGATTGCATAGCCAACGCTGAAAAACCAATTTTCTTAAATTAAAAAACTTATTCGGATGTATTGAAAAATACCGAAGTGTAGGAAAAAAAATCAAAACGCAGACTGACAAAAAGTAGTAACGACTGGTGAAATTTGAAAAGCAATTAATAATTTCCAGAACTCCCGATCGAAATATTTGCTGGAATGAACAAACACTACAGTCAATCACAAGTTTTTGTTTCAAACTCGGCACCTACTGATTTTCTCCATCGATTTTCTACGTAACTCAAGAAAAATCTAAGAATTAGAAATCAGTGCTGGAAAAAGGACTAACGAACCTTTTCCGTTTCCGTTAGGCAAGGTTCTTGAAAGCAAACTTCACACCCGAAATAATGTTGCAATTCTAGCAACATCGCTAGCTGATCACAACCAGGATAACAGCAGCGACTGAAAGAACCTAGTCCAAGGGCCCAAATGCTTGAAAGTTGACGTCCGGAGAGGGATTTGAGAAGTAAAGAAATAACCTGTCGGCTGAAATGCAAAACGAATGTCAAACACTGATTTTACAATGTACCTGAAGCTAGTCAATTTCTACAGCTTCAAAGGAGCAACTGTCCCGTCCCATATTCTGAATCATCCAACTTCTAGTTAAAACTTCCTGACCCTTGCTTGCTTCTCTAAATACATCTACAGCCTTCAGGTTAGATGAAAAAGGACTAGCAACCCTAGAGCATTCTCTTCATCTATCGACTCCTACATTTATTTCCCCTTACTGTCAGGGAACAGTAGCATAACGCTAACACTTTCTCATCTTCTCCGATATGCTTCTTACACTTTTTTTCCACGGAAGTAAGATAGAAAGGAAAAAAAAGAAAACATTAACCTGATTCACCTGTACTTGATCAGCTCGGTGTTGCTGCACGCATTTTTCATGACTGTATCAATTTTCTCTACTGAAACCTGATTTCCCAGATCACAAATAGCCATTGCAACCTTCCCATCTGTTCCACAAGGTCGCCTCCAACCTTTCCTCCCTCTCCTTCTCACTACGACAAACCGTTCGTCATCAGATCCACATGCACCTCCTTTGCATGTTTCAGATGCCATATGAGCTTATTGCTGGCTATAAGTTACGCCAATAATTATGACTTCAACGAATGCTATGAATAAAAGAGAGTACTGAAAATACTTCCTAACACAAGCAATACACCATCACCACCTTAACTACCTTAATTCCCAATTAATGTTTACGATAAAGGCTGTTTCAGTTGAACGAAAGTCTTAGAACGATCATTACTGTGACCACCGCATCGCATCCGCATCGCTTTTAGGTTTTTGGCGCCTGGGAGCGTTAGCGGTCCTGGTTGTGCGGCATTAGCGCCCAAAGCGTTGCGTGTCGCGTAGCGGTGTTCCCCTCCTTGTTAATATGAAATTTTGAAAATGATATGGTTCGGATGTGGATAGATTACCAGTGGGTTGCAGTAAAGTACAAATTAGAGGCAGGAGGTGAGTCATCGACTCAAATGTAAGTAGCGTTTAATTAGCTAACATGCTACCATGTTGTGGAGTCTCACGTCAGTGTTCGCTAATCACGTCATCAGATCATCACAATCCACTTGGTAAGGTATTAAGTTAGATGGAAAAAGTTGGCAAGGATATGCCGCTTGAATATCTAACACTCGTAGTTGTCGCTGTCAATGTTTTTATAATCACTATTTATTATCATTTATTATTTACTTCAATTTCAGACAAATGTGTATCAGCGTTTCAAATGTTAATTTTATTACTTGTTGATCCGTACTTCTCGGACAGGTTAGGGTTGTTCCCATCATTTATAAGCTAATAAAATTTCCCGATGATACATCTTAACTAGTAAATATACAAAAATATGAAACAAAAAAGAACTGAGTAAGTGTTGAAATTTTTTTTGTTGCAGCTGCCATTTTGCACCTAAGCAGTGATACCGGAAGTTATCAAACCGGTTGGTGCCGGACGGCACGCGCTGCAACATATTGTTTTTGGATTCCCAAGTAAGTTTGTTTGGAATCTTTCTTTTCTGCATTCGCCATCTTTTAGAAATCAGTAATTAAGTTTTTTTTTTCCTTTCGGTTTTTTCTCCGTGGAAACTGCGCACGCTTGGGGTATACCGATCTAGAGCATACTAATGGCATTGATGTATGACTTTCCATAATTTTAAATTAATACTGTTTCAGAAATAATTGAAATCACGCGAGATTTATTAAGTGAAAAATTTTTTAGGAAAACGATCAAAAAATATTGATCACATGCCAACGATTCAGATCCAGTCGGTCGTTGGACAGCATACAGGTGGTACCACTACTACTCTAAGTACTGCCATTGCTACCGGTGAAACACCATTAATTTCAACGTCAGTTTTGGATGAAGACTTCACTCGTCGCTTGATTGAAGCTGTGAAAGCACAGCCCTGTTTATACAATCCCAGTCATGAACATTATGGGAACAAACATTCTAGCGCTCAATACAGAATTCAAGTGTGGCAGAAGCTACGTGCTGAACTTGGTTTCAAAGGTATTGCCTCTTTTGTTTGTTCTGTTTTTTATTTTTTATGTTACAATCAATAAATGCCATTTATTAATTATCCTTTTACTTCTCTAGACATGAAATTCCATGACATTCAGTGTCATTACCTTTCTTATTCAAAACTTCAATGCTTAATCACTCTCGGTTCGCTGTCGCTCTGTATTCCAATATTCCCATGAATTTGTCATCGACCTAAACTATTTGAACTGCTTGTTCTTTGCTTCTCTGTCATATGATTGTTGAGTCTTTTTAACAGATGACGCACATGCGTTACAAATGCAGTGGAAAAGAATACGTGATCGGTACGTACGTGAACGGCGGAAGCGACGAAATGTTGATTCGGGGGAAAATAATCAGGTCACGCAGTAAAAACAGAGCTTCTCTTTCATTGTCTTTTACACTGCGTTTGCTTATATCAGATTTCCCATAAAGTTTTTCGATATTTTGTCGATTTTTAAAATTTTAGGATTCTCTTGTTACCGGTCGGGAACGTCATGCATCAGGTGGTTCTAACTGTTCCACATCAAGCAGTGTCGCTAATGTGAACACATCACTTTCTTCACAACAGTTTACCGAAATGATGCGATGGATTGAACCATTTTTAGTTGATGTAAGCCGAATTATCTAAAGTAATGGGTATATGCTGAATTCTCGAAGGAATGAACTGTTCTAATTAAGGAGCAGAAAATGTTTATCTAACGGAAAGGTGAGCAAGAATCTTCTTTTCTTCACATTTGTTGAATGCTTTATGCATTTTTTAGAATATGACGAGTTATGTTCACTCTACATCTCTTAGTGCACTTGCAAGTTCAAGTATGCAGCATCAGCAGATTCAGAATATCACTTCACAACAACCAAACGACAGTCAAGGTAAAAAAAATATTTTCCATACTTCTTTGAGGGGTTCGGAATCACTCTTAAGAGCGATAAATCTCCATGACTGTTCAGAAAAAAGAAACCATTACAAAAATATAGAATTTCTTCTGCTTACAAGAAGGTTGAAAACACAAATATAATTTCTGCTCAAGATATATAATTAAATTCCTTTTGATACACAAAGTTTTTTGTATGATATATGGGCTGTTTTTGTTGCCTACAATCCTCGTGTCCGAACTTCTTTTACTAATATAACAAGATAAGAAAAGTATCACCTTCTCTCAATGACGACTGTAATTGCAAAGTTCTTAGAATAGTCTTTTTCTTAGATCCATATAAATTCTCTTTAAAAAATCTTCAAACTTCAAAACATGTGTTCTGGATGTTTCGTATCGTCGTTACATCTTACAAAAGCATCAAGCGCAAGAATGCAGCGTAGACTTGCTGTTATTCTAAAATATCATTTTTTGATGCAATAATAATGGAATACTGGCAACACTTAGGCAAATGAATCGCATGCTTCACACTTGCTTTTATTATCATTTGTCAGTACGACTGCCATACACCTTTTCTTCACCAGTAAAGGCATCATGGAATCTTCACTTTTTAGACAACTAATAATTCATATAATTAAGCAAAATTCTTCTTACAATTTTCGTTTGTATTTTCCACTAGTGTTTTATACCCTCATCTATAATGTTTGTTCATTTTCGAGAAACATGAAGTTCAAAAATTAGGATAACTTTTTTTTTTTATCTTTTTATCCCCCTCAGCAATTTCTGAAATTTCCAGGTATATTACTAAAATTTTTTGCTTTTATTTTTTTGAAGGTCAAAATGGTAGCACTCTAGCAGTGATTGCGCCAGCAAGAGTCAGTAATCCTGGAACATATTTAGTACATTACAACCTTATAGGTAACGTCAAACAAGAAGCTTCTAATCAGGGAATGTCCATTAGTTCTACAGACGGTATAACTGTAAGCAGGTAATTATTTGTACTTTAAATTAGGAAATTTCATAGTCCTTATATATATAATTGCTTTCTAAAAATTTCAAGCAAATTTCTTTTTTGTAGTTACCAACAAACCAATCAACTTCAAATGGTAAACACACAAGTTTCATGTGAATACAACACTTTGCGAGATCATGGATTGTTGAATGGGTCGAATAGTGACAGAAATACGAATGCTCTTTCATCGTCTACCACAGGTTTCACTTTCAAACAAAGCTTATGTGAGTATTTCAGTTACCTACATTAGGTTTCACTTTCGACGCCAAAAGTATTTTGGTATTCATTTGGTCGTTCGTATTGGGTATTGTTTCCAGCTTTTATTTCATATTTATTTGAAAGCATTGAGAAGCTTATTTATTCATCTTGTTTCCTTTGATATACACATTTCAGTTTTTATGCTCTCAATTTCCATTTTTTAGAAATCTTACTTCGTTTTTCGAATTTTGTAACTTTTTATTTTTCACAGATATTCAAATTTGCTCAGTATCTAATTACAAAAGAGGAATTCTTTTTCTATACTTCTTAGAAATCCTATTTAGTTTATATAATTTATGGTCTTTGCTAAGGTAATTGTCGTTTTATCACACTTAAGAGTTGATCCTTGAGATTTAACTATGCGATTCTATTATGATCCAATATTATGTTTAAGGTTTAAATTATTTTAAGATAATGGAAGTCCATGTTCGTCAACAGCAAGTAGTGAGATAGACGTTGGAACAGCAACAGCAACAGCTTCGCATTCTAGTCAAGTTGTTTTGCAACAGCGGCAGCGACAACCTCTAGCGCAGCACCCGTCCAGTATGGTAATGTTGACTACTGTCCAGTCGCAGCAGGTAATTATAAGAGATTGATAATGAAATTCGCTGAAATTTCAACACAGTTTAGTTCCACACATTAAAAAAAATTTCATAAATAAAAAGAAATCAAATGCTTCAAAAGCTCATGAAAACAGGCAGGTGTGTTAGGAACAAATAAAACTTCATTACTGGTATATGTTTCGTCAACTTTTCAAGTACTTATTAATTTATCTTTTTAGATGGCATCACCTCAGCAGCAACAACAACCCATTTTGTTACCTAAAGTAGAATCAAGGTCAAGAGTAGGACAACAGTTACAAACATCTGATGGCGGAGTAGTAACAGTTACCGCACGAGGTGTAGCACCGGTGACTAGTGTGATTAAGAAGGATGTTAACGTCAGGACAAGTGAATTTTACCACTCTTCAGTTAGGCTATTATTATTTCACATTGTCCTGATCGGAAGCTGCTTGTAAAATATATTTTCGTGGGGTGCTTTTGCAATTCAAGATTACTTTATGTTATTCTCACCTCTAGATGATGGCGGTACTGTGACAATGATTATTGATCCGACAACTTTTTACCAACATGGGTCGCAAAAAATGTAAGTGTTTAGAATTTATTACGAGTATTAGTTGTAGGATCTTTTTTTTCTTTTTTCAATTTTGATTTTTGTAAATCAGATGAGTTAATTGCGGACTTCTATTCGGACTGAATCTGTATTCAGATTTTCGTACGCATTTGTTGAGTTTTAAAATTATGAAATTTAGTTTTCAAAAATAGACTGATCGATTTTATAAAGGTCTGTTTATTTTGCAGGTATCGGTTAGTAAATGTGTCAGAATTGAATACTGATGCAGT